TGGTCCCCCTCCTGGCCCCCCCCCCCAGGTCTTCCACACGCCAGGCCTCACCAACACATCCCAGGGTTTGGGCCTCCTCCCTTGAGAGGGCCAAGAGCTGCTTTCCAGGCCTGTGATGGCTGGAGTGGAGGGACCAGGATGCACTAAGGTGTCAGATCAGCCTGGGAATGCAGGCCCCCAAGTTGTCTCTGTGTGGCATGGTGTTAGTGGGGCTCTGCCCTTTAAAGGGGTGTTTGGAATGGCTGCAAAGCAGTTGTGGGTTGGAGAAGCCATAGCCCACTGAGCACACAATCTTGTGTCTCCCTATTGGCACTTCAGGAGCAGAAAGCTGAGTGTAGTGACTCAGGCTTTAGCTGAGGAATCAAGATCTGTAGCTGGGGCTGTTACCCTTTGTTGACTGGGCATTGAACAGGAGTCTGTTCAGTGAGTTACAGACTCATGATGGAACAGCGGTGACAGAAAAGGCAACAATGTTTTTAAGTACATCAGAAGCAGGAAGCCTGCTAAACAACCAGTGGGGCTCCTGGACGATCGAGATACAAAAGGAGCACTTAAAGATGTCCTTGAGGAGAAACTAAATGAATTCTTTGCTTCAGTCTTCACTGGTGAGGATGTTAGGGAGATTCCCAAACCTGACCTGTCGGTGACAAGGACTTGTCACAGATTGAAGTGTCTTAGAGGAGATTTTGGAATTAATTGATAAACTTAATAGTAACAAGTCACCAGGACCAGATGGCATTCACCCAGGAGTTCTGAAAGAACTCACCTGTGAAATTGTGGAACTATTAACTATGGTTTGTAACCTATCCTTTAAATCATCGTCCGTACCCAATGACTGGAAGATAGCCAATGTAATGCTAATATTTAAAAAGGGCCTAGAGGCGATCCTGGCAATTACAGACCGGTAAGTGTAACATCAGTACCGGGCAAATTAGTTGAAACAATAGTAAAGAATAAAATTGTCAGACACATAGAAGAACATAATTTGTTGGGCAAAAGTCAACACAGTTTCTGTAAAGGGAGATCATGTCTTCCTAATCTATTAATGTACATGGGAGGCTTTAAAAAAAATGCTCATCTCTATTACACAAATCCAGGGGTGGCATGTACAACTTCTTAAAGGTATCCACTTGCTTTTACAACTTGCCTAAAGGTTGAAACACTGGGGTCATGGTGCAGGTCCCCTCTTGAAATATAGGTAGGCTGAACTGCTACAAGCGTGGCAGAAGAGGGCTGTGGCAAGACAGTTAGCTCTTGTGCATGGGCTAGAGTCATCTTTTAATGATGTGTCCAGTTCTTCCAGCATGATGGTGGTTATGGTTAGAGACCTACCAAACTCATGGCCGTGAAAAACAAGTCATGGACCATGAAATTTGGTCTCCCCCCTGTGAAATCTGGTCCTTTGTGTGCTTTTATCCTACAGTTTACATCAGTATTTCTGAATTTGGAGGGCTTGACCCGAAAGTGATTGGCAAGGGGATCACAAGTTTATTTTAGGAGAGTTGCCGTCTTGCCATCCTTCTGCACTTCCTTCAGTGCTAGGTGGCCAGGAGCTATGCTATCATGCCACTCTTACTTACCTCTGTGCTACTTCCTTCAGAGCGGGGCAGCTAGACAGTGGTGGCTGCTGACTGAGGGCCCATCACTGCAGGCAGCCGTGCAGGAGTAAGGGTTGCAGTACCACAGCATGCCACCCTTATGTCGATGCTGCTGCTGGCTGTGGCTCTGCCTTCCGAACTGGGTTCCTGGCCAACAGCTGCCTCTCTCAGGCTACCCAGCTTTGAAGGTAGTCCTGCCTCCAGCAGCAGTACCCCCAACTTCTCTGACAATAACCATGCAACTCCTACAATCACAACACCATGCAATTTCAGATTTAAATAGCTGAAATAATGAAATTTACAAATTTTAAATTCCTATGATTGTGAAATTTATCAAAATGAACCATGAATTTAGTAATGCTTAGGTATAGTATAGACATGTTCCAGAGTTAATATAACTTTTGAGGTTGGCTGTTTAAAAAGAAGCATCTCAAAGGATTTTAATGGAGGTTTTACTGGGGAGGCTTGATGTAAAACTTCAGTTAAATAAAATTCCATTTATGGAGTAGTGTTTAGTTGTTGCCACATTTCTTCAGCTGTCTGGGGAAGGAGGGTCTGAGCACCTGGACCTGGCACAAGCCGGAGCTGGGCTGCCTGCCCGCCTGGCTCCTAATACAGTTTAAATGCAGAGCCGCAGCAGCAGCAGTAGGTCCTGGACCCGCTGCAAGCCAGGACTGAGCCAGGATGCTGGCCTGCCTGCTAAAAATTCACTGGGGTGGGGGAGTGGGAGGGAAATGCGTGTAGTCTGTTGCGCTAACCTATAAGCTTTTGCTTATCGGTTAATTGACTACAAGCAGTCCCCGGGTTACATGGATCCGACTTACATCGGATCCCGACTTACATCGGATCCCTACTTACAAACGGGGTGAGGCAACCCCGCAATAGCTGCTTCCCCCCTGCAGACCAGGGAGACGCGAAGCTAGCGCCCCCCCAGCAGACCAGGGAGACGCGGAGCGGCTTTTCTCAGCAGACACCTCAGCTTGAGAATAAAGGACTGAGGGAAGTGAGGTGTGGGAGAATAAAACTGAGCTCTGGAGAAATGGTTGGCTAGAGTTTCCCCTACAATATGTACCAGTTCCGACTTACATACAAATTCAACTTAAGAACAAACCTACAGTCCCTATCTTGTACATAACCCAGGGACTGGCCAGCCTGTGTGTCCCCTCTTTCCCCTGCCCCGCTTGCCAGATGGGCAATGCCAGCTGGAGGCCTGCAACTCTCTCCACACCCAGACCAAGGAATGCTGGGTAAGTCTTGTAGCACTCTAAAAGCAATAATGTGTACAATGTATTTCACAGAATAATTTTGGAGCCAGATCACAAGCACAAATTGTAAGAGACCAGATTCATTTTTGTACATAAATGTGTCATATGTGGCTGTTGTCAAAAGGGACAAAAGATCCCAACTGTCCTAATCTATCATTACTAATAACCATTTGGCACAATTTGAGTTCACACCACAAGCGACAATGCATACAGAGTTGGTAGCAAGAACAAAGTGAGGGACTATAGGCTATGTCTACACTCTCGACTTCTTGCACAAGAAATATGCAAATGAGGCTAAGCGTGGAATATTGCCGAGCCTAATCTACATACAGCTGTCTACACTGCCCCTTCTTGCGCAAGAAAAACCCTATTGCGCAATGCCGTTATGCCAATTATTTTCAGGAATAACGGCATTGCACAAGAGGGTTTTTCTTGTGCAAGAAGGGGCAGTGTAGACAGCTGTATGTAGATTAGGCTCGGCAATATTCCACGCTTAGCCTCATTTGCATATTTCTTGTGCAAGAAGTCGAGAGTGTAGACATAGCCTATAGTCCCTCACTTTGTTCTTGCTACCAACTCTGTATGCATTGTCGCTTGTGGTGTGAACTCAAATTGTGCCAAATGGTTATTAGTAATGATAGATTAGGACAGTTGGGATCTTTTGTCCCTTTTGACAACAGCCACATATGACACATTTATGTACAAAAATGAATCTGGTCTCTTACAATTTGTGCTTGTGATCTGGCTCCAAAATTATTCTGTGAAATACATTGTACACATTATTGCTTTTAGAGTGCTACAAGACTTACCCAGCATTCCTTGGTCTGGGTGTGGAGAGAGTTGCAGGCCTCCAGCTGGCATTGCCCATCTGGCAAGCGGGGCAGGGGAAAGAGGGGACACACAGGCTGGCCCAGGTGGCACTCTCTGGGCCCATCCCTGGTGTGAATGGGAGGCAGGCTGTGTGGCTTCTCCGGAAGGGGAGGGAGGAGAGGGGAGTGGCAGTGGAGCCAGTAGGGCTTTCCCCCACCAGTCTAGCGCTGAAGCAGAGGGGCGGGGGGAGGGGGGAAAATGTTTTGAGGCAGGAGGGCCTACTGATTGGCGTGGTTACAACAAGTTTGCCTGTAAGGATTTTATTAACCTAGGAAGTACTCTGCACAAAAGCATTGTTTAATTTGCTGAAAGGTGCATTTGTATTTTTATTTATTTATTTTTACAAAAGGGGAAATCTTATCAAGGTTGCTGGGCAGGAAAAGGGTGTCTTTAAAGATACTGCACACACAGAATTCCCACCCTTGTGTCTCCTGCCTTCCGTCTTACAGAGAAGCCCCGCCAGCTAGGTGGAGGGGGTTGCTGTACTGAGCATGCATCAGCCTCAGAGGCTCCAGAACTTTGCAGCTAGTTCCGTTTATGACAATAGTTGGAAAGTGGTTCCAGTCCTGTCAGAGCAGCTGGCTCACCGGCTTCTTCTGTGGAAAGAAAACCTTGATGCAATATGTGCGCTTCAGTGGTCTTCACTTTATTTGAGATGCAGGGCCATTAGATTGCAACCCCTGAGGAAAAGAATGGATGAACTCATCTCTAAATTTTGGAGTACATTTTTCACAACTTCGCTTCTCTAATGCGTATGGCAGGCACCATCACTTCCTATGTGCATGTTTCCTAATCAACCAGAATCACTTATTTTTAAATGTCTGGTTAGCTAGAGTGGCCTGTCAGCAGATGAGCTTGACTTGCATTTACATGAGGAAATTGTAAGGAACAGATTCTCTAGTGGCTCAGTTGTTTTGAGAGAGTACTCCAAATTGATATTCTCCAGGGCAGGGAATGTAGCTTTTTATGTTAATTTCAGTGCAAACTTATGGAACTATGTAAATCAGTGGTTCCCAAATTTTTCAGCATAATGACCCCTTTTTGATTTTTGAGAAACCCTCACGCCTGCCTCCTTCCTCAAGGAAAAACTTGTTGAGCAAAAAAAAGGGGGGGGGGAACTGACTGGGGCCAAAAAACAAAAATTGCAGCAAAACTTGGGGGGGGGGGGCTTGACTGGGGGGGGGGGGGAATG